AAATCGGCCCCATGTCTTCTTCCACGTACTTTCAGCCAGTTTTTCCAAAGCATTCTCATCGAAAATGTTGAACATCGATGGTGATGCGTAACGAGACCCATTACTTGAGACTTTTTGGGCGATCTGGTTGAGAACTGCTGTGTTCTCCATCGGGAACATAATGCGATCGCGCATTTTCTCCAGATCTTCTTCACTATATATCCCGCTGGTTGCTAAATGACTAGGATTTTGGTATTTCCATGTCACCTTAACGTTGGGTTTGATTTGGATTGGTGGCAGCGTTTCAATTGCGTGTGGCATCAATTTATACCAAGTATCAGCAAGACGATAGAACTGAAGTAATGGAGAATTACAAGGGATTTGTGTCGCCTGTGTTACAACAACATGGGTACGTGGTGTCAGGAAAACGCTCTCATTTCCTCGTTGTACTGGTAGACGATTATAACATTCTTCTGTTTTCCTTACTTTTAATTCTACTGGTACACATTGAACTAAGTGAATAACTTCACCAGCTAACACCGCCATGTAACCTGGACCTTTCATAAATCTAAATGCAAATTCATCAGGCATAGTCGATGCAATTGCCAAGCTATTTCTCAAAATCTCTCGTTCTAGATTACATTGGTGGCGCAAGACATCTCTGTACAATCCATGTACTTGAGATCTAATATATCTTTCTACATAAACAAATTTTGCATTTACATACATAAGTAAATCCATATTGTCGGTATTTAATGAAACCGCAACATTTCGTGAAAAATCTGCAATATTGCTTGTTTCAATGATGAAAATTTTCGGATGTTCCGTCTTTATTAGATTTAAACCGCACGCGTTATCAACACCTTGTTTCGTAAAAGTGAAGCTAACTTCCTTTACATTGACAGAATATAAAGTATCATCTCTTGAGGTTATTTTATTTACCAGGCCTTTATGAAGAATAGAAAATAAACCTGTTTCACAATGAGATGTTGAGGGTAATGTTTCCCAGAATGAATATCCTCCAATTGGATCGATACATTTATTGTCTCTTAACCTATAAGCATGACCGGAGGATAGATAAATTTTTCCATTATCTACCTCTACTCTAGCCATATCTGATCTCACTGAGATTCGAACAACACCCAATACAACGACATTTTTGTATGAATCAAAAGGGTCCGAATATTGGACTCCATCACAACGACCGTCATTGTTTACAGTACCTGCTAAAGTGACACTTCTAGTGGTTGTTGTGTTGGGTTGAAGTCCAGTAATTAAAGTATTACCGATTGTTATGGTGCCATGGTCATGGGCAACCTTGCACGCATCTTCTGAGATATACTGAATATATTCAGCATGTGCATTGTCAACAATTGAGACATGGGAGTGCATGCCACAATGGTAGACAGTACGACTTACTTCAATTTTACATTGAAGTACTCTTGTATGAGTATATTTGTCCAATTGTATCATATAAATATGTGTTTTAGAGGTCGTTACCTCTTCATCCTCGATATCGCAATCATCGATATCGAGTAAGGATATGGTCGTAACATTGAGCGCATTACTACCACAGTCGTACCCAATTATTGCAGACACTGAATTCCACATTACTATCAGTATCATAATCTTTAAAAGAATCATCTTTTCTGTGAATAAGAATAAAAGGAATTAATTTATAACCTTATACAAATAAAACATAAATTAAGAATGTTTTCTTTATGGTGTATAATCAGAATCGGAATCACTAGATCCATCTTTTCTTTGTTTTTTCTTGATTTTCTTTTTATCATTATATCTACTGTCAATCATTTTTGATATTTTCAATCTATTTGGATGAACAATTTTAAACTTGTTTTTTATTGCAATTTTGACATTTCCATCTGGCAGAATTTCTAAAACTTTGAAAGGACCATCATATTGGTCACCTAATTTTCCTGGTCTTGGTCCACTTAATAAAAAGACATTATCACCCTCTTGAAAATTCACAGGGTTGATCTTTTGATCATAATAATGCTTTGATCTATATTTGGAATTAATCAAATTTTCATATGCCAATTTTCTAGTCTGTGATAATCGTTTTACCAGATTTTCAATATAATTATCATAAGTAGGCAATTTATCAAGTTCATGTAACGGTTCTTCGGAAGGAAGCCGAGCCGTTTTACCGAATACCAATTCGTATGGAGTAAATTTGGTACCTTCATGAACACACGTATTGTAAGACAACATAGCAAGATCAATCCATTGATCCCATTCTGAATCCACAGTGGCATACTGTTTTAAGTATTCGCCCAATACATGGTGTGAACGCTCCAACGATCCATTCGATTGTGGATGGAATGCAGTAGTTTGTAATTTTTTTATTCGAAATCGCTTATTAATTCTTCGCATCATGGCGCTTATAAAATTTCGACCTTGATCAGTTAAACAAACTTTCGGAGAGCCGAAGACGCAAATGAAACGTTTAATGAAAGCATCCGCTATTGTCTCCGCTCTTTGATTCTCCAATGGAATTGCCATTGAATATTTAGACAATTGATCTTGAATAGTTAAAATACACTCATTATTATTTACTGTTTTGGGCAAAGGACCTACAATATCCATCGCAATTTTATCGAAAACCGTGCCAGGTGTATCTGTAATTAACATCGGTTGTTTAGTTTTAACGCGGACTAATTTTTTTAATTGACACTCCGCGCATTGTTGAATACGATTTTGAACATCTTTCTTCAAATTTTCCCAATAATAACTATTTTTTATACGATTAAATGTTTTTGATACCCCTTTATGACCTCCAATAGGTGAAGAGTGCATCTCATAAAAAATTGCATTTCGTTTTTCAACAGGTACATATTTTACCGTACCAAGACAAATAATAACTTTGATATTTTCATTTATGAATGTTTCCTCAATTGAAATAAGAATTTCAGACCATGGAATATTATTTACATATTTAGAATATGCAATTGAAATAGTTTCAATTTTATCTTTCTTCAAAAGTTCTTTCAGATTGTTTAAACTTTCGCAAAAATATTTTTTTACTGTGAGATTAGATTCCCCACTAGATCCTTGAATAATAGCGGCAAAATGGCAATTTTTGCCAATTCTTTGTTTATAAATCCCACCTAAACGTGTGGTTTTAATGGTGGGTAATTTATTTAATTTTTTAAATTCTTTAGCACCTTCATCAACAGGTTCACCATCATCTGAGAGGAAATATAGAATATTATCTTTACGATAAATAATTAATTCTTTGGAAATAATAATGGGAGATTTTTTTTTTTTTAATTCTTCAATTTCAGAATGTTCAGATCTAGAGTCCGAATCATCTGTTTCCGTTTCATCACATGAATTGTTTACTCTTAAAGACAAAGAGTTTTCTTTTTTTTTATCATAATTAATTCCATCATTAACATCCAATACAAGCTTTGGTGGTCTACCCCTTTTTCTTTTTATTGTTGAAGAGCAAAATGGAATTTCACCACTAAATTTATTAGGAATTTCACCTTTTACTGAAATTTTGGGAATTTCACCCTCATAATAAGCCGGAATTTCACCGTTCAAAATATTGGGAATTTCACCCTCATAATAAGCCGGAATTTTACCGTTCAAAATATTGGGAATTTCACCCTTTAGTTTCTTTGGAATTTTACCATTTTTTGAAACATTTTTATTAATTATTTTTTCGTCATCTGATTCATTCAAAATATCAAAAATTTCTTGCAACTCAGGACTGAGCGGTTCCTCAGCCCTTTTCTTTTGAGCGCGAGTAATGACATTGACCGTTTCAACCGGATTACGTGATAATGCATCCGCATTTAAATTAATTTTTCCCGGTTTATACACGACATCATAATCATATTCTGCTAATTTTAATCTCCATTTTAAAATTCGTGTATTAACTTCCTTAGCAGTCCTAAACCAAACCAATGGTTTATGATCAGTAACCACAGTGAATTTATGACCATAAACATATGGTCTAAAATTTCTCACTCCCTCTAGTATTGCTAATGCTTCTTTTTCATAAGTGTCATAGCGAAATTCGGCACCTCTTAGGACTCGAGAGTAATAGGCAATAGGTTTATCTTTACCTATTTCCCCCTGCGAAAGAACTGCGCCAATAGCTAGACCAGAAGCATCAGTCGTAATTATAAAGGGTTTTGAAAAATCTGGGTACTGCAAAATAGGAGCTGTACATAGAGCTTCCTTGAGAGTTTGAAAAGCTTTTTCAACTTCTGGGGACCAATCAAACTCTACATCATTTTCAAGCAATCTTGAAAGTGGTTTTGCAATTTTTGAAAATTTTTTAATAAAACGCCTATAATATCCGGTTAATCCGAGAAAAGAACGAATATTTTTTTGTTTTTTAGGCTTTGGAAAATTTTTAACCGCGTCTAACTTTGAAGGGTCAGGTTTCAAACCTTCGTCACTGATAATATGACCCAAATAATTTACTTTCGGACGCAAAAATTCGCATTTGTCCGGTTGTAATTGGAGATTCGCTTTTCTTAAACATTGCATGAGTGCTTCAATACGTTCTTCATGCTCTTTTAAATCTTTCGCAAAAACAATAACATCGTCAAGGTAAACAAACATTGACGTACCCTGCAATCCAGACAAAACCGTATCCATTAATCGTTGGCACGTTGCTGGTGCATTTTTTAAACCAAAAGGCATTCGGTTAAATTCCCAATGACCTTTCGGAGTAGAAAAAGCAGTTTTATAGCTGTCTTCTGGATGCATCTTAATTTGATGATATCCAGAAGCCAGATCAAATACAGAACAGTATACAGATTCCCCCAATTGATCAAAAATATCAGTGATATTAGGGAGAGGATAAGCATCTGTAATCGTTTTTTCATTCAATTGACGAAAATCGATGACAACACGCCAACGTTTATTACCCTTAGAATCGGGTTTCTTTGGAACAACCCATACAGGACTATTATATGGGGATTCTGATGGCTTAATTATTCCTGTTTCATAAAGTTCTTTAATTTGTTTATCAACCTCTT